GCCTCCTCTAACGCTATAATTTCTGCAACTGAAATTACAAATCGGGACGTATGTCGCTGGTTGGATCGGTCTCGCGAAGCTTGTGTTTTTTAAAGCGGTCGGAGGCTTGGCTCCCTTGCAACGTATGGCATTTATTATTTTGGGTTGATGGTTTATTCGTTATTCGTTCATGGGCGGTGCGTTTGAGTTTTGTTGATGCAGGACACAGTGTGATACGTACTACGTAATGAGTGATAGTGTTTTTTCGGGCATATTATGTATTTATATTAAAAATTAATGGTAAAGTAATGATACTCAAGCATTTTTAGGAAAAAATAATCATAATTATTTGTCAATATCTTTTGATTTATTGCGATGAATACCCTCAAATTTTATGGGGAGGTTAAGCCTCCCTTGCCTCCTCTGACGAGCCGCCGCTGGTGTTGTCTCGAAAGTTTGTCTGTTGCAATGTTTTTTTTCTTCATATGTATCTAATATGTCTGATGGTTTTTGAAATAGTAATATTGTCAACACGAAGAAACTACTTTCCACCCTGAAGAAAAAATTTATATCAATTCGAAACGTCGGCAAATAAATCATTGTTTTTCTGTAAGAAAAAGTTGATCTTGTTACCCAGCTTACCCTTCTTTAGAAAAATCATTAGATCACTGAACTAGTTAAGGGTTCTTATTTATGCTTAGTCATATTGTATATATCTATCTTGAAAAAATGCCAGTGATTTTTGAGACACTTAAAACTCACCTTTTCTGATTGGGACATAGTTTGACAGATTCCGTTCCTTATTTCCTAGTTTTCACATTATTTTAGTTACACTAAACTCTCACGCAGGAAGGTTTCAGTGAAACTAACCTAACTAACAATAACTTATTCCGATCATCGGGATAACTGTAAACTGAGGTAATTTCTACCTGAACCGCGAACTACTATCAAAGTTTGCCAGTGTTAATCTGAATACCTACCGTCGATTGTTTTCTCTGGCGCGCGTCCGTTCTCCTCGGAGCTTGCCAAGGTACACAAACTTTTGTCGGTATTTGTGTTCGCAAAAATAAACTAAAGGCCATCCTTGATAATTTCGAAGGGGTTTGTTTATATTATATTTTGAGTCGCAAGGCAATCTTTTTGCCTTTCGCGTTTTCACGCGAAAAAATTAGGTGATAGGCGTGCGCATTTGCTGTCAGCAGCTCTGACAAAGCTTTGCCGTAATGGTGCCTGATTGATTTGGGGCGGGGTCAGCTTCCGTGCGGTCCTCCATTGGCTGCAGTGGCGGAGGAGTGTCGACGGTTCCCAGAGCGCGCAGTCCGTCCCTAATTGAAGCGGCTCCCTGCCCTAGCCGGTCTGTTTTCACTAGTAACATTGTGTCCCGGCAAGAAGCAACATACTCTGTTTTTACTTAATCTCTGTGTAAACTGCCCTATGTTGTGTATCATAATATTAAGTGAGCGCAAACTTGTTTTCGGAAGATTGATTGGAATGAAAACACGAAACGTACCATACTGCTAAAATAACAGTGGTGTTTTCGTTTTAGAAAACTCCGACGCTTTTCGATTACCAGTTCGAACTTTTGATTTTTGTTTGTTATCTTTCTCCGTTTTGTTTGTATAACGAATGGTGCCGGGCACTTACAACATGCACACTATTTTCACGGATCCTCAAACGCCTTACAACCGGTATGGAGCCGGGTATTCCTCAGCAGCAGCGGCTGCTGCGGTTACAGCAACGAACCCTTACGCGTACGAACAGTATTCCCGATATGGGTATGCAGCAGCCGCTTGGCATCACCAACAGCACCCACTCAGCACCACCAAAGATATGGTCAAGCCTCCTTACTCGTATATAGCTCTGATTGCCATGGCAATTCAGAACGCGCAAGATAAAAAAATCACCCTCAACGGCATTTACCAGTTCATCATGGAGAGGTTTCCTTACTACCGGGAAAACAAACAAGGGTGGCAAAACTCGATCAGACACAACCTCAGCCTTAACGAGTGTTTTGTGAAAGTTCCTCGCGACGACAAGAAGCCCGGAAAAGGAAGCTACTGGACATTGGATCCTGACTCGTACAACATGTTCGACAACGGTTCATATTTGAGGCGAAGGAGGCGCTTTAAGAAAAAGGACGCTCTTAGAGAGAAAGAAGAACAGATCAAAAGACAGCAGCATCAGTCCGACTCCCCGACATCCATGGCCAAACGAGATGAGAAGCCCTTGGAAGACGTCAAAAGTAAATTAGAATGCAAACCGAAACGGGAGCCGAACACAGAAATGAGTCATTGTATGAGCTCCAAATATGGGGATCCAAAATCCGTTATCGTACATCAAGAACATATGATGAGTGACGTGACTGCGTCTCTGCAAGCGATGGATACCGCCGCTGCTTTTAGTGTTGACAGTTTGATGACGAGCAGGGATCAAGCCATCAGTTATTCGAATTCGGCGAGATTGCACTCTTCTGGTGGTAAGTTTTTCAGTACCCATCTACTCTGTATGGAACTGGCATTTATCGTAATACTTTGAACTGCTTTGAAATTCGAAGTGTTGCTTGATATGATTATCTAAAATACTAAGGTAGCCATTATATGTAATAACTATGATCAAATTTTGCCTTGATGCTGATTATATCAGACAACTCTATAAATGAATGAATCTACTGCTTTGAGAAAATAGTATATTGTACAAAAAGTGAGAAAAACGACATATTTCTCACGAGCGCAGAAGTTTGTTGGCGCAAATCGAAGGCGAGTACCGCAAATCAAGCGAGTTAGAAATTTATCATTTTCTCAAACATTGTACACTGTAATTTTTCTACGGTATTGAAAATTAAAATACATATATAATAGTACTTGTATGTCATTGACTCATTTTTATATTTTATTCAAAATAGTAATTGACAGTTGTATTTGAACAATTTTATAAAGTAATTCCTGGTAGGTCGTTTTGTTTCAACGTGATTTCGGTAATTGAAATATTAGCTGCGGTCGAAGTTCAAGTTGGTGTGGAAACGTACTGAGCTTCCACAGCATTGCTGTGTTCAATTTCTAATGGCGCTGGAGGCTGAATGGATTCTACTATACTTTTTGAAATTTTCATTTTGTTAGCTATGGAGTTGTCGATGCAAGATTCAGCGATATTACTGGATTTCCAATCCCCATGGCGTTTTAAAGTTAAAAGATCTGCCCCTGCATTAACTAAAATAATCGCAGATGACCTTCGGAAACAGTGGCCAGTATATAAATCAGGGTGCGGTAATTGCAAAAATTTCGCTATTTCTTTCGCCACGGTGCCAAATTTATTTATCCCCACAGGCTGTTTCGTACATTTGCTATTTTTGTGATAAAAAAACAACGTGTTTCATTTGTGCATGGTCGAAGCCTCACTTATTTTTTGTAAATTTGGTAGAATTCTCCTGTGACTGTGAAATTTCTAGGAACCTGGGATTCAGTATCGGGTAATTTTATTAAAAGGGCCGAATTAAGATCTTCCATGTTCATCACAACGGCATGACCCTGTAAGGCCAATAGCTAAAGCAGCCTGAAATCAAAACCAGTCATTTTTCGATAACAATTTAATAATTTTCAGATCAGCAAATACTTATCATCAGGTGTATCTTTTAAAAATTGTTGAATTTTTTCAGAAGTTAACGTTTTTGACTGTTTTCCTGGAATATAATCTCAATATCATCAAACTACAGAATGGCGGAACTTTCAATAATTGCCTGAATACATTGACATTTTACTACATAATATGAGGTAATAAGCTTGAGGTCAGTTCAGAAGATGTACGAAATGGTTGCCTTGAATTTCTTGACATATGAACAGCATATCCGATATTTCACGCCGAACATTTTCGAACACAGTAACGTTGACGTATTCTAAAAACACTTTATTGTGTGATTTTCACTAGACAGTTTCACAAAAACGTTACAGTAACGTTAATACCTCTACAAATATTTATTAATCTCTGCCGATCCAATATTGAAGCAGGCTCAGTTTCATACACCTTTTGCTTCAAATAGCTCCATAAAAAAAGTCCAAAGGTGTTAAATGTGGTGAGTTGGCTGGCCATTCTGTAGGACCTTGACGGCCAATCCAACGACCGGAAGAAGTAGTATCCAAATAGATTCTTACTTGTCCGGAGTAATATGGTGGTGCTCCATCTTGTTGGAATACAATATCCATATCGAATTCATTATAGATAGATATATAGATATATTTATTCGTGTATACAATAAAAACATGTCTACATTTGTCATTAAACACAAAACAAAACAAATGCTATAAAAAAAAATAAAAAATCAATACTCACACACACAAGCACTTCCATGAAGCAAAAATTCTTTTATGAATATTTGATTGGCATGAGTCGCACTTCCCCAAATAATCAAACCATAAGTCATTATACCGTGGAACATAGCAAAGTACGCTATTTTTAAATAATCAAAGGACAGCTGATATTTCAATTGACGCAAAGCATAAGAAGTTTACCTTATAAGTTTACCTTATTTCCAACACATTGTATGTTAATATAAAAAAATTAATTTCTTTTTCGTCACCTGGAAGTGCATGCGCATCCAAGTTTACAACTGGGTGTTGTCCCATGTTTAGTTCATCTGAACTCGTCTTGTCTCTTGAGCCCTCCAACGAGTTTTTGGGTATCCCCTGTGCTGGTATTGTTTTTTCTGTGTGAGGTGTCGATATAAAAAATGGTTTATTTCAGCCCCCTCTGGCCATAGAGTAGGATTCATTGCACTTGACTCATTTGAATCATTTATAATCTTAAAAGATGAAATAATGTGTGTGTGGGTATTTTGCTACTATTTTTTCAGCAACAACTTCAGGAAAAATTGGCTTTGAAAAGGCGGTAACATCGTCAACAGTCATGTTTGGATCTAGCTTACATACATGCAAGTGAGTTTTTTTGGAAGCCACTTTAAGGATACAGTCAGCATTACTCTTGGTACCAACTATGGCTGTATCTCTCTTCTTTCTAGCTCCCACAACTTTCCATTCTTCCTTAGGATTCGCTTCGAAGATTTCAGTGATGAGAGGGTCAACAGTAGTTTCCAGCATATCCAAATACAGTTCCCCTGTTTAATTTTGATCAATAAATAGAGGTCCTGCAATATGGTTTACCAATGTTCCTGCCCAAAAGTTAATTTTTTCTGGATATTGGGTATGTGTTTCCCGAAGTGCGGGTTGGTGTCACTCTAATAACGGCAATTTTGTCTGTGACCATTTCCTTTTGAAAAAATGTACATTTGTCACTAAAACAAATATTCTGGAGATAGGTAGGATGCCTTGCAATGGTTTCCGTCATGTTTTTCGATCAGGATCATCTTCTGTTAATTAGTGAACCATTTTAATTTTGTATGTATGATACCTATTCCTCTTCAAAAGTCTCCACACAGTAGAAGGAGACACCTCACATGCGCGACGGAATAAGTAGACTGTTCAGGATTTACTACCATCTCACTAATTATATGCACTTGCTGTTCTTCCGGAATGGACGGATGACGGATGGTTGTGAATTTAGATACAAGTTCCTTCAAATTTGGACGATTCGGAAAATGTTCATTGAAAATCCTTTCGGTCTGTGAAATTTACGCGTCGCACCGAAAATAAAAATCGCTTAAATTTTTTCTTTCAATGATGGACGAGAATTGACAATTTTAGTGATTATTGACGTGGTACCTTTCTACTAGTAAAACCAAAAACTAAATGAGTATATTCTAAATGAAAAATGATGTTCATTATCGCACTGACATATTTTGACGTTTTTATGAACAAAAAATAACTTAACAAACCGTATCGGGTTGTTGGAATTGCCAAATGGCAGACAAAAAAGAATATTTCTAAAAATATCGATATCATTGTGTTTGTCTCAGGAAGTTATTGATGTTCTGCCATTTTGTAGTAGAGTTGTGAAGTATTCGTCAGGAGCTTCGAAATGATGTGTCACAAGACCCCTCTTTTCATTTAATTTTTTTCCGAGATGGCGCCCAATCGTCATCTTGAAAGATTCATCTGTCAATTTCACTTCAAAATAAAGTATTCATGCATTAATTTCATCATCCCAAATTTCAATTTTTTGAGTTGACCCGTTCAAAAAATAAAAGGGGAGGGGACATTAAAGAAATGCACTGTACCTATAGGTATAGTGTTACATGCCTAAATACCAAGAAATTGGTCAATTGTAACTAAAATAGTGCCAAAAAATATTTGTTTTNCACTGTTCGTAGTTGAGGTCGTTATCCTTCTATCTGGTCCATGAGTTCATCTAGAGAGAACTGACACTTTTCAGCGTTCTCTTCCAAAAATTATTAAATCTTTCCATGGCCTTATCAACTGTGGGATGCTGACGATTTTCCCTGGACTTTCCTGTTGGTGGTGCCTGGTAGAACTTTGTTTGGCAAAACCGATGATGTCTTGCATTAAGGGCTACCGAATCTGTGTTCTCAGATATACGCTCTTTTATTTTAAGAGCCCATTCATCACCACGTTTCTCAGTTGCTTTCAAGATTTTTGCACTGAGTGACAACTTTTCTGCAGTAATGACATTGTTCCGTATTTCTGGCTTCTTCTTCCTCTTCAGTTATTTCGTCTCCACATAGACAACAGTGTTCTCTGAAATTGAACTGCTCAGAGACTGATCTCGTCGCCTTTGATGGCATAATATTTGATTTTCCACTGCTAAAAGCTGCTTTGATCATCTTCGAATTGTTGTATTTTATCTGACAAACACTGTGTACATATATCTCATTCACGCCCTTCAATAAACGCTGATTTTCTATGTTCTTAAGGGAAGTACGACTTAACACTTGACAATAGTCCTACTTGAAGTAGGTTTACAAAACCACGAAACATATATCGCGGCCTTGTAAACCTTTTATAGTGAAAATATCACTGTCAACTTCATTAGTAAGTGAGGAGAACAATAATCAATGATTCGATATTCAGCCTGCATCAGTAAAATAAACTGAATTGCTTGTATCGAAGAAACATCAAAAATGGCATTGACAAAATTATCAATTTTGAATACTTACTAATGTACTTACTAACTAATACACTAACTAATATATACCAATGGATCGCAAACAAGAGAGGGTACTGCCAAATTGTAATACGGGAATCTCATCACTGGTATTTGGCATCAAGAGCGAATATCTGACAAAAGCTATTTTATTGTTTGATATAGTAAAATGAACCAAAATCCCCATATTTCCAGATTGAGGAAGATCGCTACGCAATTTATTAAAAAAAAATTGGAAAACTTCCTTCACTTCCTCTGTCATAACCATATTTCATTATGAGAGATAAAATTAAGAAAGTCTTCCGTTTTTTATTATCATATCTTTTGAAATAATTTTTCTCTGGACACCAAGTCATATTGGTCCAGAGTAGATGGTAAAGCAGATGATATTGCGAATACAAGTATCAGGTGACCAAATCCAGAAGATGAATTTCTTGGATAGCCCAGCAACTCGGCGAAAACGTGTGAAACATCTGGAAGAATACCAACTCAAAACTTACAAAGATCTGTATCTCCGTAACCAAGTTAAATTGGCTCGTGTTAGAACTAAATTATCCTCATCAAATTAGCTTCGAAATGAAGTTCAACCTTTATATGAGATATGGCCTTACCTCTGGGCCTCTGCTTTTTAGTTTATATACCTCAAATATACTGACTAAGATCGATCTCTGTAAGTATCATACTTACGCGAATGATACCCAACTTTATGTATCGTTCAAACCAGAATTGCTGAATGAAGCTGTTGCTGACATCATGTGAAGTTAGTTGTAGCTGTTTTTATCTAGCAGCCAAATCATCACTGGCGTCGGGAATTCATAAAAAATCAATTCATTCATAAAATTTATCTATGAATTCATCATTTTGATATTGAAAAAATGCTGAATATATCTGGCTGCAGTAATGCGTTCAAATTCTTCCTGCTCAAGCAAAAAAAGTAGCGTGGAAGGTACAGTTCAAATTGAGGCTCAAGTATGGAAATTGCTATAAAAAATGGTTAATTCGACAAAAAATAGTATCTATTTCATATCAAGAATAGAATAGGAAAAACTAGTTCGACGTATCTACCATAGCTATTAAATATATTGAATTTTTCAAAAAAGGTATGCCTTCACAATTGTAGGTCAGTAATTATAAATTATAAACACACTGGCTGTGAAAAATTGATTTTTGTTTATGTCTATGTATATTTCTGTATATTCCCAATTTTGTATATTAATCTGTAAGTGAATTTACGGCTTTGTTTTCTGACTAATTTCTGGATTGTGTCTGCGTTGAAACCATCATTATGACCTCTCTGTAATCTCCTACTGTAATTATATCAATTTCCCTTGCTAGATTGTTAGCAGACAAGGGTAGTGAGAATGCTCTGTGCAACATTATATTCAGATGAAAAAGCAATTAATGATTAAGTAAAGAGAACTTTCCGATTTTAATAATGAAGTTTTCAGTAAAGGTGATTATACCTACAGAATGTTGAGTCCAACTATTCTCTAGGGTGAATAAGAAAGAAAGCACTTTCTCATCTAGATAAAATAAAGAACACTCAATTAAAATAATTGGAATGTAACTAGACTATCCTCAGTAGGTACCTATATAAAAGAGGTTTGCTTTCCTTTTAATGTAAATTTTCACTTCTGAACAATTATATACACTTTAAGCACCAAATTAAGGTGATATTCTTTCAATTATTCATTTTGATGCAACGGGCTTATATACTTATTTCCAAATCTAATAAAATATGCTTCCAAACAGCTGTGGTTAGAAGTCATAATATCAAAATAATCTATCTTAGTTTTCGAATGATTTCAGCAAATCATGATTGAAATTCGATATTTGAAATATTTCACAATTTCCGATATTTTCATGGAACATATAATAGGTACAGGCCTGCATTTTCTAAGATAGTTACTTATTTCTCGTGGACTAATTTGTGAAAAGGAAACTAATAAAATTTTACTCAACACCCTAGAAGAGATCTAAAGAAATGAACTTTAAACGTTCAAGCCAGTCTCGGATATACCTACACAGTAGGTTTAATGGACTGACGCCTATAAGAAAACAACTACACCCCTGGCTAATACTACGAAGGGTGTTGAATCATATCCGACAGGCGTTAGTGCAGGAATCTCCACAAAAAATTTCCTGCATATGCAATTGGCAATACAACTGAAAGAGTTGACCTCCAATTTTGGAACGGGCACACTTGCAGACCGGTTTCGGGCTCATTAGCCACTCATCAGTGCAAGATAGTGGCCATCATCGACCCAAAGTCAATGATACTCTATAATTGAAAATCGGAATTCTTTCAGAGTATTTCATTCTCCTTCCTAAGTTGGAGCGAACAACAAAATGTCACTCTATCTAGTGGACGAGGTACTAACCAACTGCATATCCGTCATTTGCCCGATTCCTCTGAGTAAGGAAGAAAATCTTTCTTATTAGTCAGTGGGCTATGCTTCAAGACTGGCAGTAAACAAATCTAAAGAAATAAAATTTGAAGGTTCAAGACAGTCTCGAATATACCTACACAGTAGGCTGAATGGACTGACACCTATCAGAAAACAACTACTCCCCTGGCTAATACCATGAAGGGTGTTGGATATAATCCAGGGGAGTAGTTGTTTTTGTAGATAATGTCCATCAGGAATATTACCTTGAAGTTCTAAATGTTGATTCGAAAGACGATTTGCTGAATGTTTCATAAAGCTTTATTCACTACTAGTTTTTACCCGCAGCTTTGCTCGCATTTATGCCATCAAAGAAGTATTAGTACAATAGAAATGAATCAATATGAGAACTATAGGAAGTTATAGTAGCTAGATTTTAAGATTTTTTTGGCAAACAATTTTCTTATCTTATATAAAAAATAATTCTTTTTTTAATAAAAATTATCCTATATTACTTCTGATAACTTCAAGAATATGTGTGCAAAATTTCATGATGATCGGTGGAGTAGTTTTTGTGTGAAACCGTAACAAACAAACTTACATTCGCATTGATAATATTAGTAGGGAAGTAGGGATTTTAAAAACATTGGACCCGATTCAAAATGCTCAGCTCGATGATATCTTTTCTTTATTGCAGGCATGTATTCTTATTGCCCCAGCGCGGCTCCTCAACACCAGTACAGCATAGCCGACGAGGCTGGACCACGTTACAGCCCTTGGTACAGCCCAGAAACCTCACCAGAATCGGCTACAGGCTACAGGGATCTTGTATTCGATAACGGTGCAGCTCCCAGTTGTCAACTGTCAGGATTCCGACACACAGGAGTGCCTCCGAGTCCTCCTAATTACAGATCGCCCGCCACTACGTATTATCAGTCGGATTGTGTGGGTCAGAAGTACTGAGGGTATATGATTTTAGATCCTGTACATATTAAGACTGATATTTAAAAAAATATTTCAGTGAAAAACTTGTTTTGGAGGTGTTCACGTACATGTGCAATCGTTGAGATGAGGGTATGATATCATTATTAATGGATACATTTCTTGATATCAACAAAAGTGTTAGGTGTTCTTTTCTACAAGACAGAAGATGAAAAGTGAAAAACCAGTGAATGTATCGTCTAAAACTATGAGACTTGAAGTGATTGTTTGGTGTTCACTTTCTATATCGATTTATTGCAAAGGGACTATCAATCTGAGTTTGTAAACTCAACTAGTTTCTCAAATATAGTGCACTTATATCTGATCTCAATCGTACGTATAAGCTAGCTCTTTGAAAGTCCTTACAGTGAAAAATTGTATTCGCAAGATACAGGGTTACTCAAGAACATACGCGTGCCAGTGGAACATATATTTTCCCATTCGTTTCTTCATGATCTTCGAGTTATTGCATTTTCTTTAAAATTTGGTTAGTCTAGCTGAAAATTTAGCCGACTTCAATTCAGTTAACGGACCGCCGTTAAGACCTCGTTGTTGATTTTTTATGAGCATTCAGCTAACCAAATTCGCATCATCGAGAGATGACTATGATTCAATAGATTTATTTCACATCAGAGCTTCCAAATTCCACTTATCAAGATAACAAGACGTCATGTATATTGTTTTTTGCATAATTACTCATGTCCAAACCTATCAGAGGAAAGTTGATGGTATAACATTTAATTAACCTCAAAATTTTCTGTGGGAGAAAATCTCTTTAAATGTACGTAAAATTCGTGGAAATTGATAGAGATTTTATGCATTTCCTTTCGTCTATTCTTTTGTGTAGGAATTTAAACAATAAAATCGTCTCTGTTCATTAGTATTTTGTGGTATGACTGATGATAAGTCCCAGAATGGATCAAAGGTTTTGTTTTACAGAACTAGGTAGATTTCATTCATTGCAAAAAATCTTACTATAATTTCTCTCCCGAGAAATGTCACTCCAATCAGTCCTATATCAGACAAAATAATTTTGGGAAAGATGAAAAGATCTATGTTTTATATGAGATCTAAACACGGCTATGCTAAATGCATAGCTGGGAATATGATATATTTCATGGAGTTTTTGCATTTGATATTGATCAGATATTTGCTTGCTCTTCATTACACAAATTGACATAACTGTGAATTACCGACCCAACTTTTTTAATGCAGAAATTTAAATAAAGTGTGGGTTCATTTTCTACCTTTCGAAGTTGTTGAATTTTTACAATTGAATTAAGTTTCCACTATTTTCTTTCAAAAACTAATGTTACTACGATTATCAATTCCTTTCAAAGGAATATGAAGAGTGAAATAGTTCAAAAACTAACTGACAAATATTTATAACGCGAACAAAATATCTGAATTTCAACATTCTCCCATGAAGCATCATACAGACTCGAATCTAAGATTTTTCGGAACAAACCACAAAAAATTTATTGAGAATATCACTCCCTTTTATATGACCCATAACTTTAGGGAACCCCTGTATATTGCATGTTCGGTTTATTTTTGAATTCATGATTATTTCATGATCATTTCAAAAAAAAGGGTATTGAAGTGAATTGTTATGGTTACTTCAACCAATTTACACGAAACATAGAAACAAACCTTTCTTTTAAATCACTCCGTTTTTTGGTAAAAACCGTATGAAAATCCGTTCGGTAGTTTTTGAGTTCATCGCGTCGATACAAAGACACTGTCTTATCAAATTTCTTTTCTCTGAAGGTAGACTAATCAAAACATCGGAAAATGATGATTTTCCTTTTCCATCAATACGTTCATTTCTTGACTCTTGTATTACATTTCTCTCGTGTGTTCCATTTGGACAGTTCTTCAGAAAACGCAATACTCAACTTTCACTGATGAAATTTTTGTGGGTTTGCGTAGATGTTCATAGATGCCAATCAACATATTATTTTCGTTTCATCTCGTAAAGAAGTCCTATCTGATTTATATGCCGCCTGACGTAACTTCTGATGATTTCTCCTCACTGTAGATTGAGAAATTGGCTTTCCTGTTTCATTATCGCTATATTCCTGTTTCCTTGAGATTTGAATTCTTTGTATTTCAATCAAATGTGCCATTACCAGTTAATATAACTGAATGGATTGGCTTGAATGGAATATTTTTGGAAAACAATTAAATAATTCAATTTGATTGTACAACTTATAGTTTTTTTATTTGTATACAATTTTTGAGGAATGAACTTCCGAACATATTTATCAATATTTTTAGTACTACATCCTGTATATCATTAATTTCTGAATTCTTTAGAACAAAACCTACATTAATGTCAATGTATAAAATGTATGAAAGGTTTTTCATTAGAAAATACCCAACTAAAATACCTATCGACGTGTCAGAATGTTTTTTGGTCACGTACCCATTTATTTTTTTATCGAGTTTATTCCATTTGGCTGGTACACAACAGAAATATAACGCAACCGTCCACTGAATTTAAAAGTGGTGACGTATATATTATCAGTATTTTTCCAATAATTCTCCTTTTGGACCACACTCTATGAAAGAAGTTTAACTATCGGTGAAATATCAGTACCATCAGAATTCCCAGCCCAATTCATGATTTATATTACATTCCTGAAGTTCATGCACCAGATTTGCATTAGCATTAGCAATAAAACTGGAAAGGTTTATCTTCTACATTATTTACTCTATGAACATCTGGCCTAGAGTTTAAACACAGGTGATAATTGATTAGGTTTTGGTAACGTGACTCAATTCTAATTTTGATCACAATCTCAAAATAATCCCCAGCAGAGTTCCTACTTGCCCGTTTGTAAAACTGCGTTTGTAATAATTTCTGCAGAGCGGAATTAACAGATCCATATTAACGTTTGATGCGTTAATCGAAAGAATGTTTGAATAAATGTATTCCAGAATCTTATTAAAGAATGAAAGAAGCAAAATATACATAATATTTTTATGCGAAAAGCCGAAAAAAATATTTTATATTTTTTTACATTTGGAATATTTATACATCATTCCCAAATAGTTTCCCAGAAACTTTCACAAAAATAAGAATTGTTAATTATTTTTTGGAAAGATAATTGTTTTGAAGATAATAATGCAATCCACACCAAATCATTTCGTTCGTGAAAATTACATTCCTTTATTTTGAAACTCCTGAAAACTCTAGGCATCTAAAGTGTTTTGAAATCGTATATTTCCAATAGACTTTTTGAACATAATTATCTGGTTATGAGTGTTTTGACAAAATCAAGTTCAAGAACTGTCAAAGATATGAGTATCAGTTTTCTCTATCATTTTTGAATGTAAACAGGAAATGATTAATCGAAATCTACAAAGATATGTTCTCCATTATTGCTAATAGGTGATAAATTACATACCGGGTGTCCCAAAAGTCATAGTAGGGGCTAATATATCCGAAGTTACTGAAAACATTAATACAAAATTTTGGCAATTACATATGTACGCATTACGCATTCACTTATTCTCCCCTGTATAAGCGGCACAAAGGGCTGCACCCCAAAATATTCAGTGGAACCCTATATCGATATGTAACTCATTTTGAAGGCCTTAGAGAAACCAACATGTATACATAAACCAGAGGTCTCTACGGTCACCCGTTTAATAATAACTGCCAGTCATGCAAAAGAGTATTATTTCATTTTATAAGATGTTCAAAATGGACACCACCAACGTCTCAACAATGGAAGAGTCTACCTTACTCGTTTGTTAGAATTCATGGTGGTATAGTAGCACACACATTTGTGATTCGTTGTCGTCGTTCTTGCAAGTAAGATGGTTTTGTTGAAGATAATCGCTCCTTTACATAATCTCACACGAGAAAGTCAAGAGGAGCGTGGTCGGGGGACCTTGGTGGTCATTTAATATGATATCCCTCATCTAGGTATCCTCTTACAGGAACATACAAGTGTGGAAGTACCGTATTCTACTAAAAAATTCGATGGTAGTCGAATTTCAATAGCAGCTACAATTCAAGTGTCATGGTGCTTCTAAAAATTGCAAGTTTAAGCATCTGGTGAGATTTTTGTTGATAAAAAAGTACCCAATACCATATCGCGCATAATTTCGACACATACGTTTACACATCAAGGATTGTTTACACTTCAGTATTGTTAGTTGTGTCTACTAACAAAACCGTTTACGAAAAAGCTTGCTTCATTTGTGAAACATGGTAGTTAGTTGTGTGGTTGTGTAGCAATTGAATGGTTTCACGAAACTGCAGTCTTCGATCTGGGTCATCTTCATTTAGTTCTTATATAACATGGATTCAAAGGGATGAACTGTATGCTGTTCTGAAATTTCAGCACTGTTGATTCGTCTGTACCTGAATCAGCAGCTGTTGTGCACACTAATAGCTTGGGCTCCAAAACTCGAAGTTGATGCTCTTCGGTTTCAACGGCCGGGTGACAAGATCTTGAAGCATATTTTAAGCTAAACGTTGTAGTGCATTTTTGCACAACACTTCTCACGTAAACAGGAGAAACTGGTCTATGTGGAAAAATATCATTAGCAAATCTTGTTGTCTCATGGTGATTTCGATTAGCTTGATCTACATTGTCTTCATTCAGGCGAACCATATCAAAAGGAATCACATCACAATATCAACTAATGCCTTTTCAATGTCACTGCAAATAAAAAACTGAATCAACGGTACTGCTAGAAAATCAAATCGGGATGAAAAAACAATTTCGTAAAGAAATAAAATTTACAAAATGTGACAATAGAAAATAATTATTTTGTGTTGGACTAATTGATATCGTTTCTATTCGAAAATAGGTTGTCGTACGGACCTATAGTTTGTACAGAAATGTTTCTTTCTTCAAAGCTTTTCAAATGAGCTACATATCCATTGAAAAAGTCATTAATACAGTTCATTGTATGATTTCCACTGTAAATTGAAATGCATACAATAAACTGTATTGATGAGTTTTAATATGAAATTTCATCAAGTATTGGCTAGTTCTATTCAACGACATATCGATATAGGGTTCCATTTATGATTTTAGCGTTCCGTTTTTTGAAATTAAGAATCGCCCCATAGCCCTTTGATCATGTTACAGCACTAATTTTCATTGGGATTCATTTAAATCAAACGCAACCAATATTTGAATCTTTATGTGTTTCATCTGCCTTACACTAATAGAGCTGGATACTGTAGATTGAGATTAGTAGAGAATTCAGTTCTTAAAGCTAGCAGATATGAATATTCTTGAAAACCACCTCAGTCATAATAATGAGTTGTCATCCTCGGGTCTTTATTGGTGTTCCCTTTGAACGATAACTAAAAATACATACTGCATTTAGTTGCATCTGCCTGCCAACGACATGGTTGGACAACTTTTTTATTTTTATGTGATAATAGGTTCGATAGTGTGTATGTAGTTTTTAATGCAAATTCTAACGATGTATGAAGTTTTACTGCCCATGTTCCTATAATTATTTATTTATTGAGTTATTTCCAATAGGCATTCGGATTATTCCATTGTTGATCTTCACACGTTTGATTCGAATAGTTTGGAATTTCCGTCACTAATCCGAGTGTCTATTTTTCTTGAATGACGTGAATACTGTAACAGGTTATTCTACTACTTATATATAGAATAATTATAAGCATGTGCGATGTACATATTCTTCTGTAATAAATATGGATGTACAATTATTATTGGTAAATGTGTCATGAGCACGTTGTATGTATAATATTATTTATTTGGAATAATACAAAAAT